GGGTAGGCTGAACCAGCCACAAAGAAAAAGAAAAACTCCAAAGCCAGATTATCATGGTACACAGCAAGCAGGAGGCTGAAGCAGGAGGGCTGCTGCCTGAGCTACATAGTTTAAATCCAGCCTGAATTATAAGGTGAAATCCTGTCTCCAAAACAAAACAAGTGAACAAAAACCCTGCTCTTTCCACCTGACAGTTTCCATGATGGACTCGAGCTAACGCTTCCTTGGCTATGTCTTCCCACACAGTCACAGCTTAGACAAAACTGCAATCGACACTGGGCTGGGAAGGAAGCAGACAGCCTCCAAAGAGAAGTCAGCTCCGTAGGAGCAGAGAAAGCTTCAGACCAAGTGTCCCCCGTCGCACGCCAGGAGTTTCAGGAGAATTTTCTTTTTCGTTTCTTTTCTTCTTCTTTTTTTTTTTCATGCATTTTAGTACAGGGTCTACAGGGTCTCACTACACAAATTGGACTCATAGTGATCCTCCTGTTTGCAGCCTCCCAAGTACTGGGATTACAGGTGTGCACCACCATGCCCAGTCTCAGCACACCCCAGGGGCAGGGCTGGCACTGCATGCCGGGCATTGAGGCAGGCGCTTCAGTCTGCTGAGCTATCTGGTTGGCCCTTCAGGAGAATTTCTTAATGCTTTATGTCCTGAGTCTGACTGTATTTGCAAAAACTCTAAAACCAGAAGACCTTTCTCATTATCATTGCAGGCATCAAGGATGAGGGATGCTATGGGGACTGCGTCCTTGTCAACTGCCACTTTAGGAAAGAGGGGGTGTTGGGAAGTAAAAGTCAAGATAAACAGAGAGGAAATGAAATCAATGTGTTGAAGAGACATCTACGTTTCTGGGTTCCCTGCAACCTTACTCCCAGTAGCCAAAGATGAGATCAGCATAAGCATTCGTGGGTAGATGAGTGGATAAAGGAAATGAGCACGTACATGGTGGAATACTCCTCAGCCATCAACAAGGTGAGATCCCATCACTGGTGACAACATAGATAGAACTAGAGGGCATCATGTTAGTTGAAGTAAGCCAGGACAGAAAGGCAAATAGTGTATGTTCTCACTCATCTGTA